AAAAGTATATTTTGTATTAAAAAGTAAAAACAAACGCGGATATATATCATTAAGTGCTAGTAGTAACGGTAGCAAATATATATATACATACATATATATGTATATATATATATATTATATGTGTGGTAGCATCAGAGGTGAAAAGTAAAAATTTAGGCTCGGTGACTTTTGCGTCACTCTTGCGTCGACTTCGTGTGTCTGACTAAACCATGACGGATCGTTTTCGTTTCGATAAATAAAAAAAATCAACTGAGGAAAAAACATGCACGATGAAATAAACGAGAAAAGTGCACAGATCATGTCTTGGGTAACGAGAAACGAAAAAAGTGTTCGATAAAAAAAGTAGCATGCAAAAACAATATGAAAAGACGTTACACAGCTGCTGCCGCTGTTATTGTTCTGTTTCCTTTTGTTGACAATACATAGAAACGTTTATATAGATAATAAAAAAAGGTAGACAAAAGTGTCGCTCTCGCACTAACCCACTCACTCACGATTACTGAACGTATTATTCTTTGCTGCATTCGCCTGTGGAAGATATTGCATGGGGCTATCTGTTATAAGTGTTTCTATTATTTTGTTATAATATTTTCATCGTCTGCACATACGCAACTTAAAAGTTTAAAGGTTTAAAGGCCAGTCTGACAATGAGGGAGAGAGTTTCAAGGATTGGCTCGCGTTGTTTTTTTTTTGTCTGTGTTTTCTAAATATATTTATTATTATATAATTCCGGATGTCGACGTTTGTGCGCGCGTATATCGATTTTGTTGAATGGTCGTGTACGCGGACACAGACGCGCGATCATCAATAAGCTCCTGGAGCAGGGGGGGGTACAAAAAGTATAGACCTGCGTTTCGGGCAGGGCAGTTATACGATTGAGATTTTTTGTCTTGAGTATGTATTACAATGACCAATTTTAGACCCTCCCTTCACGCAAAATTCACTCTGTTTTGCTTCGTAGAAAGAATTTATCCTCATTGTCCCCGGCGTTTTTCTGTTTTTTTTTTGTTGCTTGCGAGGAGTTTAGCGCTGTGCAATCAGGGTGTATTTTCTCTGTGTATACATATTATATGTTCATATATACGTAGTTTACAGCAAGTAGTTAAAGTATTGAAAAATATATATGTATCGATTAATTACAAATCTAATTATCATCTTGTATTTTAATCCGTTGCGCGGCTCATTAAATATTTAGAATTGATAATTTATTTAAACTTTTTTTTGTTAAATTTACTTATTAATTTTATTTTGTTGTATACTCGTACTTACCCGCAATAGTTCTTATTTATATATCAATGTCTTTTGTTCAAAATAAAAATGTGTGTTTGTGTAAATGTCGTTAAAGTTTTCACAGGCTGAGAAAGTTTCTTTACTTTTTTCCGACTAAGTATAAGAATATAGCGTTATGCCTTACGTTCGATTATTACTATTATTATTTTGTATTTTCATTAGACTTATGTTTACGCCGCGTACAACTGCGTGCCCTTTTATTTCGCGTTACATTCAATTTAATTTTTTTTTATTAAACTTGCGTTTTTTCCTTTTAATGCGTAAACATTATCGATCGCTATAGTTATTAGACACTTGATATTTGAAAAAACAGATTACCGGCATCCTCATTTTCGTCTGTGTGTGACAAGTCTGTGTATACATTATCTTTGTTTCGTTTTAAAGTGCATGCAGATGTTTTTTAGTTAATCCTCATTATACGGTAATGAAACTGACTGTATGTGTGTACGTGTGTGCGTGCGCGTGTGTAATTTTTTATTCTCTTAAACGATTACATTCAGTATTAAGGGCATGAAAAATCTGTTTTGGTACTTGTTACTTTTGTGTTGTTTTACAATATATGTCATATCGCGTATTATCGTATAGACATAAAATACTATATAGGTTTTCCATGGTTGTTATCGCAGCTGCGTGGCTCGTAGTAATAATCATTTTTTGTTTAATAAATGCTAACGACCACTTTTATTACAAGTAGTTATTTCAATGTCAGCACCTCGATTAGACTATATATGTGTGTAGCAAGGTGTCCGGTTCCTCGTTAATAAGCACTTCAACTTTTGCTTTTCGTTATACCTCTTTCCACTCTAGACGACCGTATACGCTTTTCTTTCTTTCTTTTTTTTTTTTTGAATAGTTCTCTCGTTATCATAGGAAAGGTACATTGCGTTTGATTGTTTGCTGTAAAATGTATGTGATGTGCCGAGAGTGGTTTGATTCGATGTCCTTCGCGAAACGCACGCAGTCACCTCACTCCGCGATCGCGCAAACGTCCCAATGGGTAGAAAAATAGTAGCATCGAATCCCGTACGAGTTACACCTGATTTCTTGATCGAGGCGTCGCTCGCGCACCTGTGTCGGACGTTGGAAATTCGGTTGCAGTGCCGAGTCGAATCGTCGGAGTGAAGCGAGTGCTGCATAACGAGATTTATTTTTAAAAAGATCGACACTGCCCCTCGCTTGCGTTATAGGTCGCGTCAGTATTGGCTAACGGCGCGCGAGCCTTGGCACGTTCGACGGTATTTCAAGCGCTGTTGAATTCGATTCGATCGTTTAAGCGGCTTCTCTTCCGACTTTGTTATCTCTCTCCCTCCTTTTTATTTTTTATTTTCGGTTATTTTCTCTCTCTCTCTCTCTCTCTCTCTCTCTTTCTCTCTGTTTAATTATAGCAGGTACTAGCATAGCTACCACAGTCGTACGTATCGTTTAATAGTTTACAAGTTAAGTGTTTTTCTTTTTTTATTTTTCTTACGAGATATTAAACTATAGAAGGGTATCTTGCTTTCTCGCCCAGTACACGTTTGTTTTCCTATACGTTGTTTTCGTGGGGATGCGAGAGTCGATCGCTCGAACATGCTTCTTCGCGTTTTTTTACTTTTTACACAACTTAATACAAAAGATACTCATTTTTTCAAATATACTCGTTTGTAGCTTTTTTTTCATTTCTTATATAATCACGACTAGATGATGTGTTAGTTTTAAAAAGTATAAAAATGCCCTTAAAAAATATATAAAAAGTATAAAAATATAACATTCATCTTACAATTAAATATAAAAAAGTGCCGTTTTTTTATTTACCATTCAACGAAATAATTAATTTTAACGAAAGTCCGCATAAATACATATATAATATATATACTCTCTACAAATTAACGAAGAATATAAAAAATTGCACTATACACATACAAAAAAAAAAGAAGAAAAGAAAGTAAAGTAATTTTATATTTGTTTATCAGATTCACAAATGCCACGGTATGTACATAACGCGCGCGCGGAGATGCGCGATTTAGAGACAAAAAATATATAGCAGGCGAGTCGACGTCTCACATCCCTCGACGGTTTTGCAAGCGTACGTCCTTGAGGCAGCGCCAATAGAGGTGTCCCTGGCTATGTGTCGCTCCGCGAGAGATACTTTCGCGCCGATTATCTAACGCTTCGCGACGTGTTAGGCGCCAATTCAAAATCGCGCGAAGGTCAAGGAGAGGAAATTTCGCAATGGAAAGAACAAAAAAAAGGAGCTATTTCTTGTTTTTTTTCTTGTTTTCTGAAGATGGCTCGGTTGTAATAATTTCATCATAGAAATCAGGTTTTCGGGGAGAGTTACGAAAGAAGCGAGGACGGTTCTCGAGATTAGTAAATTCGGAAGGGGTGTTGCTCTGGCGCCTACAATGACTGCTCGTCGCGTTTTCTCTCTCTTTCACTTGCGGCGTCCGCTTATTACGCTGCTTCGCGTGACTCTTTCTCTACCTCTACTGCATTCGTTATAAAAATAAAATGTTAAATAGATCGTTATACCGCGGCGCGCCAATGGAGATTATCATCGCGCGCCACATTGTAATGTACATCGTAGGCTTTCTAATAGTTATATTAATATTATCCCGTTTGTTCCACTCGCAATCATCTCTCATTCACTCTCCGACACTCTATGATTCAGTGAAAAAATAAATTATATCACACCTCGTGACTCGTTTTCACAATAATATGCGACACAGGCGCGCATACATCTCCATGCCGCGTGTCTCGAGCCTGTGTCCCGCGCGCTCTTCGCTCTCTCGGTCCGTCTGTGTCGTCTTCGTCTCGGTCTCTCTGTCTGTCGTCTGCACGTCGTCCAAGGTGTCGTCAGCCGCGCATCAGCTAGAAACAGCAGGAGATATCACTCGTGCAAAAAATTCCTTTTTTTTAACAATCTCCCACCGATCGCTCAAACTGTGTAACGCTTTTTTTCTTATCTTTCATCTTTGTGTTTTAGTTGTCATGTTGTATCTCAATATTCTCGAGCGTTCTACACTCGTTCATCATTTCATCGTGATTTCAAATATATCTTCTCTCTTTCGTTTCTCTGGTTCTCGTCGTTACCTCGCTTTGATAATTAATTTTGTTTTTTCCTCGATACAACATCGCCCCCTCCCCCCTTGACGTGACGCACTCGTTCGCTCGCTGTCGCGCTCTACACCTACGCGTGTAGCATCTATTGTACATTCTAATAATCGCCGCGCGACATGTTTGTTTCGCCAAGCGGTCGTAGTGCCTTCGCTCGCGCGACTCGACGGCGCGGAAACAGCCTCGCTCGGAGTGGATGATGGTTGCGCGCAAAGCGGTGCGAAGGAGAACAGAAGAGAACGCGGAAACGCAGAAACGCAGAAGGAAAGAAAGAGGTGGAGCTCGAGGCACTCGGGGAAGGAACGGGGCACTCTCGTCGTTTGTTTTCCGGCCTCCTCGGAAGAGCGCGCGTCGTCGTTTCGCACGTTTCGCGCGCGAAAAGGAACTCTGCCCGCGAGCGTGGACTCGAGAGGAACTGAAGCGACGTAAACGTATGTGATGAGCTGGACGCGCGCAGCTGGCACTCCGAGGAAACGAAAGCAAGTATAATCACAATTGGGCGCTGCGTCGCTCGAATGGCCGCCGACGAAGGAGAAGAGAGAAGCAAGGAAGAGTCCCGCGGGCGGAGGGTGGAGCACTACGAGGCGGACGAGCAGCGGTAGTCCAGGCCGAGGCGGCGACGACGGTGGCGGTGGCGGTGGCGGCGGCGGCGGCGGCGGCGGTGGCGGGCGACGAGCGGCGCCGGTTAGGAGGGCACGAAGGCCGCCTCGGGAGCCAGCAGCGAGGCTGCGGCCGGGCTGGTGGCGCCGGCGTATTAGTTGGCGACCAGCAGGTGCTGGTAGTTGCTGGCCGGGTAGCCCAGGCCGTAGTTGTTGAGGGCGTCGCCCACGGCGGCCTTGTCCTGCTGCTGGCTCGACGAGCTGCTGGGGCCGCTCGCCGCGGCGGCCCCGGGAGCCGCGGACCCGATGGGCCCGAGCGCGGCGCCGCTCTGGGCCGAGTTGGGCGCGGCCGCGCCGCCGGCCGCGCTGCCGCCGGCGCCTCCGTAGAACTGGTGGCCCACGGGCTCGATGTAGCTGGAGGGGAACTTGGTGTAGAGGTCGGCGGCGGCGGCGGCCAGGTAGCCACTGTGCGCGGCCGTGCTCGCCGAGTCGAAGATGTTGCGGTGGGCGGGGAAGTAGGCCGCGGGCGGCGGCTGGTGGAAGAAGTAGGCGCTCGGGTCGGCGTGCTGGCTGTGGCCGTTGACCAGGCCCGGCGACAGGCTGCGGCTGTTGGGCGAGCTCTGGCAGACCGGCAGGCCGCCCGGCGTCTGGGCGCCCGGCTGCGCCACCGCCTGCTGGTGCTGCGGCTGCGGCTGCTGGTGGTGGTGGTGGTGGATCTGCTGCTGCATCGCGCGCTGCTTGATGTAGTTGGAGAACTCGGTGGGCGACATCCTGCAACGAGCAAAGAGGCGGCCGGCTCAGGACGGGGGAGTCGCGCGAGAGCGGAGCAGCCCCGTGCTCCCGGCGGCCGCGAGCCCTTACCTGTTGGCCCGCTTGCTGCTGGTCTTGAGCTTGGTGCTGCCGAACTTGGTCTGGGCGAAGGTGGCGGTGGTGAAGGTGAGCGGCGCGGTCGACCTCGGGATGAAGGCCGGCACGGGGCTCGGCGAGCCCTTGAACGAGTTGGCCAGCGGAGTCGGCGACGGCGCCGAGGACGAGCCGGAGCCGTGGCCGTTGTTCTGCAGGCTGCAGCTGGCCGACTCGTTGCTGGCGCTGCTGGTCAGCGAGCTCGGGAACGGCGAGGTCGACTTGGGGCTGAGCGACAGTCCGCTGAGCGAGCTGCTCACGACGTCTATCGGCCTGAAGCACTGAGCCTCGGGGTTGAAGGTCTTGGTGACCTCGCGGTCGGCCGACGACTCGTCTTGGGGGTCGCCCATCTCCTTGTAGAGTATCTTCACTTGGCTGTTCTCGCCGATGCGATAACTGACTTCGTAGGGGTCGATCCAGACGGCCAGCTCGCTAGGCAGGTTCTCCAGGATGTCCTGGATGGGCACTCCGCTCTCCTTGGCGGCGCGTTCGAAGACCGGGTCGATCGGGTCCCCGGTCTTGATACATCGGAAGGCCGTGCCTTTGGAGGGCTTCTCCGGATACCAGTGGCCCTTGAACTTGTCCTTGAGGGCCTTCTCCAGCTCCTCGCCGAATATGTTGACTCGCCGCCTCGGCAGCTTGTTGTACAGATAGGATATGACGAAGTTCAGCGCCACCTGCACTTCTATGTGCATCTTGGCTTTGCTGAGGTAAATTTTCGTGACGGGATTCGTTCTGCTCTCTCGGCGTCGGTCTCGTCAGCGACTGACTGACTGACTTGACGGCTACGTTTGGCGAGCGGCTTCGGTGCTTGATGCCACGATCGCTACGCTCACGGCCGTTGTGTTGGCTTTCGTTACTCCTTCTCTAGATCCGTCCACACTCAGTCTTACCTATGCCGTGTCTGTGTGCGTGCGTGCGTGCGTGCGTGCGTGCGTGTGCCACCTGAGACGACGACTCAACTGCGTTCTCGTTCTTGCGCTGTTTGCAGTTAGTTGTGTACGAGGTCGCCCGAATCGTCAACGTTAGATCTGAAATCAAGAAAAAACGTACGATTCGTTATCCAAATTGTTGAAACTAATTTAATCCGTTGTTGCGCAAAATTGCGAGGCTTATGTAAGTGATCACACGCAAAAGCCGTAAAACAATCAAAAGATAATGATTAATCGTCATGGCTCTCTTTCCTTCATTCGCGTTAGAGGTTGCGCAGGCATGCATACGATTCAATTAATTACGAAATAAAAAAGAACAAATCTCATCTTACGTCCCATACAACCAAAGTGTAACTCCAATTGCATATATATATATATATATATATATATATATATATATATATATATTTGTAGTTCTCCATAACAATTTTTCTCACTTTCCTTGGTTCTTCAAGTAAATCATTGATCGCGAGATAGCCTGTTTCCTCATCAGATAAGACACCGAATTAAAGAGAGAGAGAGAGAGAGAGAGAGAGAGAGAGAGAGAGAGAGAGACAGTTCATTCCGAGAAACTGCGTAAAGCAATGACAATCACAATGATAATTGTCGCGCTGTACTATGGGAAAACCTGAACGCCTATACGCTGTGAGAACGTTGACAAGTCTATACTGTTTTTTTTTGCGGAGTAATTGGTGGAAAAAAGTGTGACATAATGTTTGAACCGTAGAGATCAAGATGAGTGTGCGTAAACGAGAGTATGAGTTGATTAAAAGCAGCAATGATTTCTCAATTCACGCGCGCGAAAGCTTCCGGGAGGCACTGCGTGAGCGGGTAATTAGCATCGGATCAGGCGACGACGATGGACGTCAGTCGGCCTCGATACAGCAGGGGGCACCACGCAGTGTAGGCAGCCGAGCTAATCACCGATGTCTGCTTCTTTGCTCTTTAGCGCCAAGATAACGCGAGCTTCAAATAACGATACTCGGGACGTCGTCGTCACAGTAACGTCACGAGCCTATTGCCGAAGTCATCAAAAATGCGAAAGCGTATGTCTGGCCAAGCGCAAATGCGGAAGTCGATTCTTGGGCGTAGCCCAAGCTGCCGCTACTGCTGCACCTGCTTCTCTCTCTCTCTCTCTCTGTCTCTCTCTCTCTCCATTTTTTCTTCCTCTTCCGCTTCTCTCGCCACGCGCCAAGAGCTGACCTATAGTGAAATTCCATCGGACTTGTCCGTTTTCTTTTCTCATATTCAATTCGATTTTCCTTCCTCGAGGAAGGCTCCCGTATTGTCTCGAAAGCACCTCTAGAATGTTTTTCACTCGAGAGATATGCGACAATAAGAACAAGAATAAATCATTCTCTTCTTCGAGGTATTCAGAAGTAGATAAAAGTATCCCGTCATCGAGTTTGAAGAAAAAAAAACAAAGTATTTTTATTCTCTCCGAATGGGTAATTGTGGATTATACAATGAGAGAAGCGAGGACTTGAAAATAAAAAAAAGCTCAGTGGCAAAGAGAGAAACTAGAAAAGCATTTGCAAAAGTCGCGAGAGTGAGTGAGAGAGAGGCCCAAGGCTGTTGTATGCTCTGGCAAAGGAAAAATCCAACTGAACGCAGAAAAGAGCTATATACTCTCTTTCTCGACTGGCTTGGCGGACAGCTCGTAAATTGTCTCGGGCTGAGTGCGATCGCGTCGATTACGTGTCGTTCGAAAGCAGAGACGACCTTTTCGCGCCCCGCAAATTGCAATCGACTGCTCTTTAGTCGCCCGCGCCGAGAGTGAAAGCTCACAGGCGAGCTTTTATTAAGCCAGCTCCCTATTGATCTGTTCCTTGTAATTGAATGGATCGTCAAACTTGTATGCGCCAGCTTATTCAATTTTTCAGCCCACTTGGCAGTTTTCATTTTACCGAATGGCAGTGGGAAAAAAATATATTGCTGCGCAAAGTATACTCAAACTCTCGGATGTTATAACCTCAGCGATTTCCATGCCGCGTCTTCTGCCTGTCACAGGCGGCCAAGTTAGAAAAAGATCAATCGCGAAGGAGAGCTTCTTTTTTTTTGAGATGTAATAACGCGTTAAAAAAGTTGACGGGAATGACGAAAAAAACATTGTACGGCAGAGTAGCGACGGCAGCAGCAGGATAGAAAAGCCGATGGCAAGATGACGACGACGACGACGACGACGACGGCGGCGGCGGCGGCGGCGGCGGCGGCGGCGGCGACGGCGATCGATCGGTCGGCCTCCTGCGAAGCTTCGCTGCACGCGCTTGTGTATGGCTTCTAGGCGCGGTTGTTGCATCGAATGCTCCGCGATAGCTTGGCTTGCGTCGAATATTTTTACCTTTTTCCCCCGTTACTTTACGCACGCACGCTCGCGCACAAGTACACGCATAGGCGTAGCGAGTGGTCGAATGTAAACGATTTTTTTTCGCAAATGAAAGGCATTTGTGCTTTCAAGGCCGCCGGATGAGCGAACAGAGTGAATCGTTGTTTTGTTTTTTCCTCGGTGAGCGCGCGCGCACAAGAGAGGGAGAGCTTGCACAACAATTCGTCTCGCGCAAGTAGATTGCGCCGTGTACGCGCGCGTTCAATTAAAACGGGAGCGCGATGCTTTAATGAATAAAACAAACTTTTGAATAAAATCCTATATAGCTGCGGAGGATTACACGCGGCCTAAATAGCTAAAAAGTGAAGTCACGAGGTTTGGTATGCCGGGGAAAAGCGGATTGCTCAGCGAGAAAGAGAGTCGAGCAAGTGCGCATAAATATAGACGGGAGGTAAAATTTATGGAGGATACACGCTCGCGCGCCGCGCCGACGCATGAAAATTCGATGTTAATGAGAACGGAGCGCTGTTGCGCGAGTCGACCGCTGTTCTTTGCATTTGGATGCACGGGCATTTTCGTGAATATTCCGCCGAACCATCGAAAACGCTGGCTAATCGATAATATGACGGTCGAAGCGGGCAGCTAAATGTAACTTTTGACAAGGCGGCATGTAGTTGGCTGAAAAAAGAAATCGCTCGAACGGCGTAGATCTGTATCGTCGCGCGCTTCGCTCTTCGGCACATTTAGCGAGGCGCGATGATAGCTCGTAAATCAGCTCTCCAACCAGTTTCCGCGCGTATCGCTGCCCCTTAGACCGAGCTTCCCTTCGGCTCCGTGCTTTCGTCACTCGCGGCGAGCGCCGCGGATCCCTCGAAAAAAGGGTGGCGAGGCAGTTTTCAAGCGGTAAGTGCTGAATGAGGGTCACGTGCGTCCCTCTCTCGCTATTCGTGTACGGAGCGGAGGGGAGCCACTCCCTTGTGTGCGAGCGAGTCAATGGAGAGAGGCAAGGCGAGGCGCCGCGTCGAGTTCAGCCAGAGCTCGGCGCGTACACGTACACGTACATGCTCGCGGCCCTTCTGTTTCACGCGTGCGAGGGGTGGTGCGATCTCGATGACCCGCTTTCGTTCGCCGGGGATGCGCGGCCCCGATTGCGTTGCGCCGTCGGCTCCGCGCCTGGCTCCGCGCCACGGTACGAGCTTGCGATTTTCGGGGAAAACAGCTCTAAAGCAATTACGTCGGCGGAACTTCTTTCTCGAGTGCTCGCTTGAAAAGTTCACTCCGTTCGATGGGACATTGATCAATTTTCAACGCAACGACTCGCGCGAGAGCGTCGCTTTTTTCGTCGGTATATTCTCTCGGCAGAAAAAAGCTGAAGAGCATGGAGCTACGTCTCGCAACGACGCCGGCGAAGGAAAACAGTGCGTTTACGCGCGCAGATAACTTTTTGCCTATCCGCGTCCGAGGGACGTCGACTCATCGCGTAAAACTGCCGTGCACTTGCGCGTGTCGCATTCAGCGTGCGCACGCGACGATAGCGCGGAAAAAAAATGCGATTTCGCCGTGTCGCCCTGTTATCGGTTAATTAACGCGCACGTTACGCGAACGCGCGCAATTGGACTTTCGACCGGTCGTCGAGCTCCACTTTATTCTTCGACGTCCGTAACGTTTGCATCCTGGTCCGTGGACGTCGCAATGATTTGTCTGACTCTTTGTTCGTCGCGCGCGAAAAGTGATAAAAGATAAACGCACGCTTTAGCAGGTCAATCCGTCAGAACCGCAGTTACGTAATAATTCGATTGCAGAGGGGATTAACAACGGAGCGTCGGCGGGTCGCATGTGCGAGTTGGCGGACGAGGTCGGACACGGATGATAGACGTCGGCTGTAGGACAAGGACGAGGCTGAGCTGTGGCCGTTCGATGTGCGCATTCGCGCGAGGAAACGCACCTTTAAATTAGAAGCAAAAAAAAAAAGAGAGAGAGAGAGAGAGAGAGAGAGAGAAGAAAAAATAAAAAGAAATAAAAAAAGGCATCGAGCGGAAGAACACATTAAATGATCGAAACAAGCTCGCCGAAGAGATGTTAATTCTCGTCGACGGAAGTGGCACACCTGCCTTTAAATAGTTACGAGCGTTGAATTGTATTGGAATGAGCTTTTCGAAAGTCACGCGCGGCATCGCGTGAAAAATTGTTCCGTTACACGTCAATTGTCGTCAGAACGGAGAGCACATCTGCGGCGTATATTACGCGTATATACGGATATAAATGGAAGCGCACGCAGGGGTCGCCCACGTTGCCGGCGCGAGCAGATCAATACACGCGATGGCGGCGGCGGCGGCGGCAGCAGCAGCAGCAGCAGCAGTGGCGGCGACGGTGGTGCTCCAGATACGCGCCGAGTGAACGCGCCCTATAAGCCTCCATTCCTCCCCACGATGTCGCCCCGAATCCGGACCGGGTCACGATGCAAAACAGCTCTCTTGAGCTTTTGTTGCTTGTATTGCCTGCTCCCGCTCTCTTACTTTCTTTTCGCCAGCCGAGCCACCCTCTCTTGCTCAATTTGCTTAATTGTAACGATGCGTCTGAGTGGGCGATGGGGGTCTTTTAAAAATTGCCCGGCGCCCCCTTCCGGTGCGACGAATGAAAGCGAATCTTGTATCGGCCCGCTCCCGTTGACCGTATTTTTATAGATGCCGTAATAAAAAGGCTTGATCCTGAAAATGACGAGCGCCCTTGTCTGCTGACCTCATTCGTCGTTGTTGTCGACAAATATATCATT